GGGGTGGGGGGAGGGGGGCGGTGTTATTTGAGCAGAAGTAGAAATTATCCAAGTTTGTTGTATGTGTTTTTGCGGGGAAGGGGGGTGACGGTGACAAGTGGTTCCTGGTAGAAGAGAAAACAAGTGCAAATGCACTGAGGCCTGAGGGAACGTGGCACACTGGAGTGTGGCTGAAGCACAGACTGCGAGGCATGGGGGGTGGTGAGAAAAGGGGCTTAGAGAAGCAGGGTAGGGCCAGATCCTGAAAGCCTGGAGAAAGCCCCTGTGGTTTTTGCTGTACAGCATCTGTCCCTTTCTCTTCTAGTACTGGAGTTTCAAATTCCCTTGGGAAAAATTTCCCTCTTCGCTGTGGCTCTCTAGGTAGGACTGTCAGGAAATGCTGCCCTCCTGGAGGATGGCACATGTATTGCATGGTTTATGAATTCTATCTCACTAAAACTGTTACAAAGGAAGAGAATGATGGTGTGGTGTTGGTGGAGGGATAGACACAAAGATCAGTGGAACAGAGCAGAGAATCCAGAAATATACCCACACAAATGTGCACAACTGATTTTTGACAAAGGTACAAAAGCAGTTCAATTGAGAAAAGACAGCCTTTTCAGCAAGTGGTGCTGGAGCAATTGGACTTCCATAGGCAAAAAAAAAAGGAACCATGTTCTAAATTTCACACCCTATATGCAAATTAACGCAAAATGGGTCATGGACTTAAATGTATAACCTATAACTATACAACTTTTAGGAAAAAAAAAACCAACAAAAAAACCCGGGGAAAAACCCTTCAGGATTTAGGGTTTGGCAGAGAATTCTTAGACTTGACACCAGAAACACAATAAAAAAACAGATGAATTAGACTTCATCAAAATTAAAATCTTTTGCTCTGCAAAAGGCCCTATTAAGAAAATAAAAAACTGCAAAGTGAAAGAAAATATTTGCAAACTGCATATCCAACAAAGGACTAGTATCTAGAATAAATTTAAGTACTCTCAAAACTCAACAGTAAACAAACAATCCAATTGCAAAATGGGTGAAAGATATGAAAAGACATTTCACCTAAGAAGATATACAGATGGCAAATAAGCACATGAAAAGATGTTCAACATCATTAGCCATGAGAGAAAAGCAAATCAAATCAAATCATTAAATACCATTAAACACTTATCAGGGTGGATAAAATAAAAAATAGTGAAAACACACAATTGCTGAGGAGGATACAGAGAGACTGGATTGCTCATACATCACTGGTGGGAATGTAAACTGGCACAGCCCCCTTGAAAACAGTTTGGCAGTTTCCTAAAAAATTAAATACGCAATTTCCACATGACTCAGCAATTGTACTCCTGGGCATTTTTCCTAGAAAAATGAAGACCTGTGCTCAGACAAAAGCTTATACATGAATATTTGTAGAAGCATTATTCATAATAACTAAAAACTGGAAACGACTAGATAGTGGTTAAACAAATTTTAGCCATTCCCTACCGTGGAATACTGCTCAGCAACAAAAAGAAACAAACTACTGAAATACACAACAAGCTGAATGAATTTCCAAAGAATTATGCTAAGTAAAGGAAATCCCAAAAAGCTACATAATGTTTGATTATATTCATGTAATATTATTTTATTTTTTAAGGTAATCAATTCCTTGCTTTTATTTATATTTTTACCTCCTAAACACTGTCAATTCTTATTATTCACAGTAGTCGTGTTCTATAATGATACCATAAGCACTAAATTAGTGGGTACTGAAAAACAGCCCAAGGGGAAATATAGGTTTAGGCTCCTGTGAACCTCTGGTCACAACGTTTTCATCAACCGATCAATATATAACCTTGTTTTATGTGTGTTTGTTTTTTCAGTTGAGGTATAACTGATATGCAAAAAACTGCACATATTTAATGTACATAATTTGAAGAGTTTGGACATATGCATATATACATGAAATCATCACCACAATCAAGTAATAAATATATCCATTACCTCCAAAAGTTTTATATAATATTCTTGAAATGATACAATATGAAAATGTCAAATAGATTAGTGGTTGCAAGGGTTTAAGGAGGGATGGGGGTGGGAGAAAGTGGATGCAGCTATAAAAAGCCAACATGAGAGATCCCTGTGATGATGGAAATGTCTTGACTCTTCATTGTATCAATGTCAATACCCTGGGTGGGGATGTCGTACTATAGTTTTGTAAGATGTAGTAATGGGAGAAAAGTGGGTCAAGTGTATGCAGAATCTCTGTACCATTTCTTTCAACTGCATGTGAATCTACAATTATGTCAAAAATAAAAGTTTCCCTAAAAAATAATTAACTGTTTAAAGCAAAAATAATTATAACATAGCATGAGGCTTATATGTAGAAATAAAGTATAGCAACAAATACCACAAAGGACAGAAGGGACAAATAGAGGTACACTGTTGTAAGGTTTTTACCCTTTTTGTGAAATAGTGTAATATTTGAAAGTAGACTGTAATAGGTTAAAGATATATATTAAAATCTCTTAAATCACCATAAATTTAAAAGGTATAGCTAAAAATAAAAACCAATGGTGCAAATGAGTAGAATCATAAAATAGTCACTCAGTCAAAAGAAGGCAGGAAAAGAAGGAAGAAACTGATAAAACTCAAAGAAATGGACAAAAATCTACAATTATAGTTGAAGATTTTAACACTCCTCACAATAACTGATAGAACGAGTAGAGAGAAATGTGTAAGGACAGAGGCTATTTGAACACCATCAGCTGCTTGACGTAACTGACATTTATAGACCATTCTACCCAATAGTGGCAGCATATATTTACACTCCTTTCAAGTGCACATTGGACATTTCAAGCTAGACCAAACTTTGGGCCACAAAACAAGTTCCCATAGTTTAAAAAGCCTGAAATCATATGATATATATTTGTCTGACCCCCAGAGGGA